TTAGATTTATTAAGTATATTTTAAGTTACAGTTAGTTACTTAATTCTTTAGTGCTAAAATTAAGAAGATAAAAGAAATTATTATTACTAAAATGGGAAAAAATTAGTAAAAATTTACAAAAAATATCATATCATTTTGTACCAAAATTTTATGAACAAATTTTCAATTTTTCAATTCTGATGTGTTGCTATGTTATTCGTTTTTGAAATGATCTTCAGTATAAGAGATATTTTAATTTTTACGAAATCTAGAGCACTTTATCTTAGTTATTATATGAACTTGCTTAAAAAAACAATGATTATATTAACATAAGGGGCTGTAATTTCTGTAATAAAACAGTGATTGATAAATCTGAAAGTTAAAACACTTCTACTATTATACATAACATACACAAAAATTTCACAGTTAATTATTTTCAAAACTTTTTTAGAAATCACTGTCCCCGTTTCAGCATTTTAAAAAAAACACATTTCGAGTAAAACGCGTTTTAAAGTACGACATCTTGCTTAAAGTAATGGCCTTTGGTTTTACTAAAACACTTGTAGTTTTAGTTCTAGTGAACGGAAAATAATAAACTTGGTATTTTTATTTATAAAGTTAATAAGACGGTCTATAAAATAAAATCATAAAATAAATTTGCCAAATTTTGGCAAAATTCACAATTTTAGGGTAGTCGGATACCTTAAGTAAAAGTTTGAGAATTTATTTTTAAAAAGAAATCATTTTAAAACTTTTGCAGTGCGAAAAAAAGGAACACGAGCTAATAAATGGGTTTGAAAATATTAAAATACTTAGTGGTTTAATATTAAAATTTTAAGAAATTGAAGGTGAAAAAAGCGAGAAAAGTTACTACATCTCAATTTACTGAATAAGAATTACAGAATTTTAAAAATATTCTATCTATTGAGTATTTATTGCGCTATATAATAAACTATATATATTAGTTCACCCAAATTATTTTTCATTATTGTCCACTTCTAAAAATGTTTGTCAACCTTATTTTAATACACAATTGCACGAAGTCATAAAAGCCACGAAAGAGTGTCTCAGCTGTTAAATGATTTTTTGAAGAATGTGAATGTTGTGGGGTCAACTAGTGACCAAACACTGGATATATATGTTAACTTTTTTCAAACAAAAATTTCCATTTTGAGATGTATGTTAAAATGTAATAAGATTCATTTTTTCATACATACAAAACTTGAACTTTCTTGAGTAAAAGTCTCTTTACAAAATTTACATGCGCCATAGCTCAGGTTAATCAATAACGGACGATCAGCTTCTGAATGAAAACTTAAATACACTCACTACTGGCCACACAAAATGCAACACTAAGAAGGACCAGAGATATCACGGCGAAATTTATTTGGCAGATAACATGTTATACAAAGATCGAACGATAAAAAATGCAGCCTTTTGTGACGTGTGGATGATGACAAAATCAGTAGTTAGTATAGCCACCATTGTTGGCTTTAACCGCTGCCACACACCTTGGCATAGAATCGAAGAGGCTTTGTATGTATCCTTGGGGTGCAGCAGTCCATGCGGCTTTCACATATTGCCAAAGTGGATCTAATAGTAGAGCGGGTAGTATAGTAACGGGTGGTGTATTCCGGGCCAGTCGTTGTGCAAGCATGAACCACAAGTTTTCAATCGGCGATAGATCGGGAGAACAAGCAGGCCAAGGAAGCAATTCAATCTGATGGGTAAAGAAGAACTCTTGAAGATTGAGTGTCACGTGTGGTCGCTCATTATCCTGTTGGAATATTGCTGATGGCTAGCCCTGAATGTATGGGAGGACCACGGGCTCCCACACCTCAGAGAGCGCTGGCTGTTCAGTGTACTGGCAATGCGTACTAGAGAAGTATGGCAGTTGTGATTCCTATACCACCTCAAACCATGATACCGGTTGTAGGACCAGTGTGGTGATGCATAAACAAACAGTTCAGCAGGCTCTCACCACAGTGTCTCCAAACTGTGAATGCGGTCATCGTGATGTTGCAGGCAGAAGAGGGATTCCTCAGTAAACACAATGTCGTTCCATTCGTTGTCCATGTCTGCCATTCATCGCACCATTGACGGTGCAAGCGCCTGTAGTTTCCAGCCAAGGGTAAACGAAGCAATTGACGCCTTGCGGACATTCCACTATGTTGCAAACGACGTCAATTGGTACAAGCAGACACCGAATGATGCGTAACAGACTGAATCTGTTGTGCTGTAGTTCGTGATGTGGCAGCGAGATCTATCACTGCCATGCGTCTGCGCTATAATACTAAAATTTGCATATTTCATCGCCGCCAACGCATGATGTAAATTTCATATGGTTTGCATGCTTCCTTAAAGATGTTGCATTTTGTGTGACCAGCATTGAATTTATATTTATCGAATATTCATATATGTAATGCATATTATAAGAGTTACTCATTACTTTCATACTAATGGATACATATTCAACAGAAATTGAAATCATAACCTCAATGTTTGATTAATTGCTATCTTTTAAAACTATTTTTTGTACTTAAATCCAATTAAGTTTTAAATTTTTATAAATCAATTTTGAAAAGTTGTGCAAATAATAGTATTATCTATTTATAAAAAGAGAAAAGAGCGACTCACTCACTGACTCACTCACTGACTGACTGACTAATCACAATATCTCCGAAACTATTCAACCTACAGATTTGAAACTTGGTAGACATGTTCCTTTCATGAGGTAGAGATCAGCTAAGAACAGATTTTGCGAAATTCAAACCGCAAGGGGCGTTACGGGGGTTTAAGGGGTGTTATAAATAATTGTTTCTATTTTTACACTACTCAACGTACAATCTTGAAATTGGGTAAGCAGATTCCTTTCATAGAGTAGAGATCCGCTACAAAATGGGTTTTGGGAAAATAGCCCCCAAGGGTGTTGAGGGGGATAAGGGGCGTAAAAGATAAATACTTTCGTTTTTAAAATACTTGACCTACCGGCTTGAAAATTGGTAGGCATAGTTCTTTCATGGAGTTAATATCCGCTACAAATTGCGTTTTGGGAAAATTGACCCCAAAGGGTGACGAGGGGGTTAAGGGGAGATATAAATAATTATTCCGATTTTTAAACTATTAGACGCACAGTCTTGAAATTTGGTAAGCAGGTTCCTCTCATAGTGTAGAGATACGCCACAAAATGGGTTTTGTGAAAATAGACCCCCAAGTGGCGTTGAGGAGCTTAAGGGGCGTTATAGATAATTACTTTTCCATTTATAAACTCCTGGAAGCACAGTCTTTAAATATGATAAACAGAATCCTTTTATGGAGTAAAGATCCAATATATAATGTGTTTTGTGAAAATCAACCCCCAGGTGGCGTTGCGGGGTCTCAAGGGGCGCTATAGATAATTTTTTCCATTTTTAGTTTATTAGACTCACAGTCTTAAAATTTGGTAAGCAGATTCCTTTCATAGAGTAGAGATCCGCTACAAAATGGGTTTTGTGAAAACAGACCCCCAAGTGGCGTTTCGGGGGCTCAAGGGGGGGGTTATAGATAATTATTCCCATTTTTAAACTATTAGACGTACAATCTTGAAATTTGGAAAGCATATTCCTTTAGTAGAGTACAGAACCACTATAAAATGGGTCTCGCGAAAATTAACCCCGAAGTTTCCTTTTGGGGGATTAAGGGGCGTAGTAGATAAATATTTCCGTTTTAAAACTATTCGATCTACCTGCTTAATAATTGGTAGGCATGTTCCTTTCAAGGAATAGAGTTCCTCAAACAAAGAGTAAAACAAAAATTGACACCTAAGGAGGGTTGCGAGGGTGAAGGGGAGTTATAGGAAAAAATCCTGTTTTAGAATTGTTAGACCTGTGTACTTGAAATTTGTTACGCATGTTCCTTTTGTTGAATAGGGATCCATTAGAATGCATTTGACGGGAATCAACTCCTGGGGAGCAAGGGTTACTGGGGCGTGTTGACAAAAAATTTCTTTTTTCGAACTACAAGAACTATAATAATGGAATTTGGTTTACATTTTTCTTTTGTTGAATTGAAATCCGCTAAGAACAGTTTTTGGGAGAACGACTCAGAACGGAATTACAAGGGGGAGGGGTATTGAAGTAAAAATTTTGTTTTTACCCTATTAGATTTAGATTTGAAATTTGGCTTCCATGTTTATTTACTGGAGTAGAGATCCACCTAAATTGGTTTTGCGGAAATCCACTTTGTTATAGGGTTACGAAAGTGTAAACATTATTCTATACTCAATTTTAAGAATATTAGGTAATACAAATTAGTAGTTCTGTCCTTTTTTTTTTTATCAAGAGGTGAGAGTTACAGGTATAAGTATATTTTTCAATACAATAGAATTCTTAATGCTAGGGCTTAGATATCATTATATTATACATATAAACAGATATATTTATAAAGCATCATGAAGTACCCAGCGAAGCGGGAGGGTAACGGCTAGTTAACAATAATAACAATAAATATATTTTTATTATTATTTTGCTTTTCGATTGATGATTGATTTTAATATACACTGCACTTTATCTAAAATATAAATTAAATCATAACTAAACATTTAATTAACATAAAAAGTAATGAAGAATTATTTAAAAACAGTAACTTGATGGAAACATGATATTTTTTTTCAAAAGATATAAGCGAATCAAAACTATTTATTAAGCGAAAAAACCGCGTCAGAAATACGTAAATTAAAGTGATTTTCAAAAGTTAAAAATTGGCTACATTTTAAAATCATGGTAAAGGACAAATAATTTTATTAACGTCTCGTCTATATATATATATATATATAAATTTTGTTCAAATTTTCAATCGACAATAAAATATTTTCTATTCACCCAATCAAGTTCGAATAAATTTTTTTAAACTTGTAGTGGATGACACTTGATGTTAATATAGTTTTTTCAAATATTAATTCATTAATTCTATTTAATTAATGAACTAAAAGTAATAAAAGTAATAGTCCAACGCCATAAATAAAAAGTAAAACCGCTCCTTGTGTCCCTGTTATGTAATGGATAGCGCGTTGGACTTCTAATCCAAAGGTTGTGGATTCCAATCCCACCTGGGATAGCCTAATTTCTGAGAATGCGATTTCTTGTTACTATAACATTTTATTGGAATTATTATATTTAATTGATGAATAAATAGTAACAAACAAAAATAATAGTCTAACATTATATATAGAAAGGAAAATGGAAAAAATTGCAAGGAAAATCGCTATTTTTTCCTATTTTGCCACTTAATATTCTGATTCTGTCATATGTATATACATATTTATATTAATTGTAATTATTTAATAAAGAGCAACTAAAATAAAATTTGTCTTTGTTGACATAAGTTGTTAAGTTTGCCCTTAAAAATTTTTTTTATATTATTTATTTTGTATTTTAAATAACTTTACAAAGATGAAATTTTACGGATTGACTGTTTAAACTTTTTCCTTTGTTATACACTGCATTGCGTTTTAAAGAGGCTGGATATTTTTAAAAAAGTTATTTCAATGCAGTAAACATTTTTTTTTTAATATTATTACCTAATTCAATTATTTTAATATTTTAAAGAGAACTATTCAAAAAAGTATTTTTGTTATTTTCTTTTGCTTAAGTATTCAAAGTTAATAAGCTCTTTTCTTTGTGAAATTTAATAAAAAAATCAAGCAGAGATGGCAATTTTGCTTGCATTTTCATTATTTAATTAATTTTTTCAAAGATTTATCTGCTTAAGTCAGTGCTTTTCTAAGTTTCAATATTTGTGATTCAATATTCAAGCAAAATTTTCATCACATAACAATGTATGCCATAACAATGTATTGAATTCAATAATATTATACTTTGGCTTGCGCGCTAAAGTTACAATAGGTCTTTAATCTCTGAAGTGCCACCGGCGTATATAAACGTCTCACTTAGCTAAAGCGTTAATTATCCCGGCGTATATATGCACCTTTCCAAAGTACGATCTTTTCTGTGCACTGCTATCCATAAAATTTTTCCGAAGGCTTTGGAATACAATAAAAGGACCCTGACTCTGTTTGCGAAGGATTTACGTAATTTCGAGGATTTGCTTATTATTTCTTTTTTCTCATCCTCCTTCACCCCTCCCAAACACATCACGCATTCGGGCCTACATGGAAAACGGTGGCAACTTTTAACGGAGAAACTTTTAATCGGCATTGAAGGGATTTTTTTTAAAACCGTACAAATTATCAAGATAAGTGTTAATTTTTGTATATAATTTTAAGTATGACAAGCCCATGGGGTCACTGGTAATTATTAAATTTATTTTTAACTTAATATTGTTAAATCAACTATAAAATACATTTTGCAGTACTGATACATTTGTAAGAGTATTATATTGGTGAAAATGTGCACTTTATTTTTTTTATTATGTCAGAATGTATTTTGATTGTTTACTTTCAGTAAATTAATATTTTTAAAAAATAATTTTTTGTTTTCTAGTTTTCAATATGCTCGCGTCCCCCACACACGCCCTCCTAGAAAGACACGTCCCACAGTTTGAGAAACTCTGGCTTTAGTCAAACACAAGCCAGTATTCTTAACTAGAGTTAAAATTAATTCAACCCCAATGAATTTATTTACTAAAAAATGAAACAGGGTACTTATCAATTTTTACAAAACAATCATGAATTCATTTTTTTTTTTCTTCAGAAACAAGCTGATAGACTTCTAGTTAAGAACCTCCCTCTTTGAAACATCAAACTGTTGCTAGAGATCTCCAATCACCTCATCCCATACTAAATCATCAAAGTGCTTACGCAAGCGTGGCTGCTTTTGCGTGCGCCAACTATTTTATTTCGTCAATAACCTCATTTTTTTCCCTTCCCCTCGTGTGTACCGATGGTCTAAAAGGAATGGACGTAAATTTCCCCTGGCGGCCAGTCCCTGTCCGCCGAGGCCGGACACACCCGAGAATGACACTGGAACACGCGATCACAGACCAGCTTTTAGGCCCTAATTGCACTTCTTGTCTGGTTATGTGTTCAGAGGACGCTGCCAAATCGAGATTCGGAAGCAGTGTAATGAAGAGGGGAAATTAATTAAGCCAGGGTGTAAAACATCCTGCCAATTCGTTAAATCAGTTTGGGAATTGAGAGCTTCGTCTCTTCAGGGGAAGTGTGGGAAGATCCTGAGAAGAGTTGGTGGCGCGAGAGTGAGACGTACTGGAAATGAGACTTTGGGGAATATGGGTAATGGTTACTCGTCATGATCTTAGAAAATTTTTGGGTGTGTTTTTGTAGACATTTTACTCTCTCTTTTAAGGGTTTCTTTCTACTACATAAATAGATCAATTAAACCCTGATGTGAAATGCCACTAAAGGAAATAGAGATATGACGCAGTTAAATTATAGAAGTTTATAGGCAATAAATATAAAATTCACTATTGGAGAAAACTTAGGGGGGGGGAGGGTCTCATAGCAAAAGGAATTAATATCAAGAATTTTTTTTTTTTCTGTTCTTTCAAACAAAATACCTTTTCGTAAAATCCGGCGTATAACGCATATCGCCGTATGACGCGTATCCCCTATTTTACAAAGAAATCTGAAATGTACGTAAGCAATGTTCTTATGTTTTGAAGTGTACGAAAGAAGTTACGAGTTGAAGTTGTTTGCGAAATATTGCGCCAGACTTTAGAAAAAATAGTAAATTTCTAGACCTACAATACCATAAGTTCATAAAGTATTTCATTTTTCTTAAGAAACAGTATTTCGATCTATTTAGGTGTCTAATTCTTTTTATTCTTTAAGCTCTCGTTTTTATACTAGGCGTATAACGTTCACTCTGAAATTTAGATGTTATTTTTGGTGTTAAAATAGCGTGTTATATGCCAGATTTTACGCTAGTTATTTGAAAATATGCAGTGGTGTACATTGGTATTCAAAATTAAAAGAATTTGCGTATTTAGTCGAATTTCTAAAGAAGGTAAGACTAATACTTTGAAGTAAAAATTTTAGTGTATATTAAATGGAGGTGAAAGATTTATTAATGAACGAACGTAACGTTCTATCATTCGTTTATACACCTCGGGGATTTTCGTGTTTTTTTTTTCTTTCAACACCCGATGAAATTTGAAAGCATGCAATCAAAATGAATCATCGCCTAAGATCGAATAGTGAAATGAGATAGTGAATCATCGAAAAACTTGAGAGTGGGCAGTCACAAGTGTGGATTGCAGAACAATTCAGTGTCAGTATATAATTAATGCTGATAGTTTAATGAGACCGGATCCGTAGAGAACGTGTTAGGGAAAGGCCCCTCGATGACCATAGAAAATTGATACTTTTTCGATGCAGAACGTAGTAAAAGGAGTACAATTGCTTCTCAGGAACCAGTTTCAAGGATTACTGTTTCTTGAAAGGGGGCGTTTATTAATGTAGCACTATAAAGCAGCAAGAGGGCTATTGGTGTCGGCCCCGTAATTTTGAGCCTAGGTCAAGTGAGGAGGATGACACCTGAGCTGTGTGTGTGCGTTTGTGCGTGTTTGTGTGTGTTTGTGTGTTCGTTTGTATATGTGTGTGGCACTCCCTCTCCTAACTATTTCATCACATCAACGGAAGAATATTAAGCTTCCACAGATTTAACGTCCATCGTCCCCCTCTACACGGTAAATCTTCAGTGGCATCAGTACTGTTTATTGAAATCGGTTTGCAAGAAGACATATTGTTAGAGCTCCGTTTACTTCTATATGTATAGCATGGTGCAGTAAACATCAATTAAGTCTAAAAACTGATTTTCGACGTTCCTTTATCTAGAAAGAACAGAGACCCTTCTTCAATGGCTTGACAGCCCTGACCTTCTACAGAAATTTTCTCCAGGCATCTCTACTTTTGACAACTTTTTTCCAGTTTCTGACCTTTAAAATATTTAGATCTTTTAAGGTCTATTTCCCATGGGCTTTACGAGAAAAATTTTCTTGCAGCAACAATCTTCATTCATTCTAGCCAGATGACCAGCCCATTTAAGTCTCTGTAATTTGAGCACAGAGACCCACTGTATGACAATATCCAATATCCAAGAAAGAGAACTGTATGGCAATGGAGTTTGAGGCACACAGAATTCCATATCCTCGAGAGAAGCTCTGTGAAATTTTGGTACTTATGAAGGAAATCTTAGGTTCTTATTGGAGCTTATTTTATGGATGACAACGTTCATCCACTTAGGACTTATCTGACGGGCGAATATTGGGAAACGAGGATATTCATAGACTGGATCGCCTACCCTACATAACTTTGTTTATAGAGCATATTTGGGATGCTCTTGAGAGGACAATTTTAACTCCACCTCCCTATCTCAGGAACTGAAAATAGGTTACTTAAGGACAGGGGCGTGACTACCGCCGTATCAATGATACGGGGCCCCCAAGCTACAGGGGCCCCAACAAGTGTAATTATACTCCAACAGGATTCCCATATCTAAAAAGGGGCCCCAAAGAAATTGTTGAAGGAATTTTAAACTGTATATTTCCTAGCATATTACTGAGTTTCAGAAAATATCTATGCATTGATAAATAGTTTGAAAATTGAATGATTTTGAATGAACTTTTTTTTTATAAAAGAATGCCATTGAATTTAATGTATCACTTCTCTATTCTTTAATTCTACAACCGATTTTTGTAAAATAAATGTGTAAGTGGCGAAATTTATAAAGCATTAAACAACTTTTTTTCCAGTTTTCTTTGAATTTGGTAGAAATACGAAAAATCTTTCTCCTCTTTCATTAAAATTAAAATTCATATTCGAGCAACTCTAGCTCATTTTGAATGAATCCCCCTTTAATCATATTAAATTTTTAACTGTAGTTCTCAGATTGTGGCCGCAGTAGTTTAGTGGTTATGGTCACGAACTCGTCACCGTCGTGTCATCAGTTCGAGCCCTCGTGCCACTGAAGACTCGCCGTATAGATGGGTTGTTGTAACAGTGGTATCCTAGTGGCCAAGGTAACGAACTCGTAGCCGGCGCATCGTGAGTTCCAGCCCAGTGCCGCTGAAAACCCACCTCGTAGGGGAGCGATGCATGTTAAATCTTTCGAGAGCTCAAATGTCCTCCCTTTTAGTGG